TGAATACGTTTATTATAAGGTGATAGACAATATTTGTAGCTCAAAATGATGATTTGGAAGGTGTTGTATTTTCTGAGCTGCAGGGTTTATTGTCAAGTTTTCACCATCATCTTTGTGGACAACATCATTAGTACATATTTTAACGAGAAACTTTTCACAAGTCTTTTTTTAATCATATGCTGATGATGTTGTCTAAAAGGTAGTGAAAGTTTTCAGATAAACCATCGACCTCAGAAAAAAAGACACCTTCAAAACGTTTGCTATTATTACCATTACTATTCTCATTATTATCAGTTGATTTGGGATAATAGGCTTCATAAATTTGACTACCAATACTTAGAAAACCTATGATTAAATTGAACCCGGCTCTTCTGAAATCAAATCATTGCCGATTTGGCAATAAACAGATATTTTCAATTTGAATAACGACGAAATAAAACAATGATATGAATATAAACAAAGATGGATAGTGGCTAGCAGTGAAATCCAGGGTGCTCATTCGCCTTATTTGGGACTCATCAGTCAGATGCATTCGGACTCGTGTAAACGTTCATAGCAAAGCTCATGTTCAGTATCTTTGACTTCAAACGTCCAACTTGTTATCCTTAACATAAGCGGCAAGATGCAAAAAACCCTTGCAGATGAATTGAATTTCATCCCTCAATGCACATGACAATGACTATCTCGACTCAGTAGTTAAGTGAATAATACATTGAATTTTGAAGTAAAAAGTATTGGGTACAGGACCCGCTGCTAACATCAACACGGGTATAGGTATATCTGGCTGATGAGTCCCAAGTAAGGCAAAACCCGCATCTTAGATTCTACAGCTAACCATTATATAACTCTTTTTAAAATGTTATGACCTAATGGTTGTTTTGAGGCAAACCAATCAGGATACACAAATGCTAGAAGAAACTGATCAGTTGTAGTTCTTAAGATAAACGAGAGAATTCAAACAACCCTTACGGAAAAATAATTAATCAAAACAATTTTACGTCTTATTTAATATATATGTAATATACAATGATTGAGTTATCCAAACGCATTTTCAATATTAAAGTTTATTTCAGTTACAATGCTACATTAATTTAACACAATAACCTTTCTAGACACCTGATAAACTTCAGATATTATTTTGGTGTCAGCCGATCATTTATAAACTAATTTATATTTTACGATTCTTATATCATACTCATATGCATATCTGAATAAAGAAAGATTTATTATCTGTCGTTAAGTATATATTATTTCTGAGTACTAGCGAGTATTCTCAATCCATAAAGTTATTATTATGATGCGTTTCAATGAAAAACGTGAGACAACGACAATACTCAGCTCAATCTTGGCAAACCTGGTTGACAGTGGTCATATAGAAATTAAAACTTAATCATTTCAAGTGATCTATCGTATACCATCGTCATTTATCAATGTGGTTCGACTTCGTCTTCTATATATATCAGAGGCTATAGGGTTCTGAACCTATAACCCTAGTTTATGTGTTCGGAAGAAATTCGTGACACCGCTGTTCATTCCTTGGCTGGAGATAACTTAATAAACTATTTTATTAACTTTTTTTCACATACCGTATTTGTTTGTTATTTTTCAACTCCTTATGTTTACATCTTTCATTGTCTAATTATTTACATACTTATTATCACGTAATCTCGACAATTTGTAACAATTACTGTAAACATTGTTTATCCAATTTCTAAGCAAAGATGGGTGGTGGCTAGGAAAGTAAATCAGGACGCTTGTTTCTTTTCGGATGCACGTGCATCCAGCTGACGAGACACAATCAGGAGTAAACGCGCGTTCTGGATCCTACTGATAAACACAGTCCAACTTTCCATAAAGTTTCAATGATTTAGCGGTTTTATTTAGGTAGTCAACACCGCTTGTACATATACAGAAAGTGATTTATCGACTGTGATCAAAAATATAGATGAGGAGACTAAAAACCAATACATATAAAGTTATTTATTGAAGTACGACCTAGTTCCTATGTTCAACTAATAATACGAACTTGTGTAGTTTGATTATTCCCACTACTAGCCTTCTTACGATCAACTTTTGCCTTACACCCATTATGTCTAGTTATACGATCTATTTAATTCTAGACATTGTGTCACGAATTGCGTTAATTGGCTTATTATTTCCACATCAATAGTCACTAATATTATAAGAAAACACGTTGAATATGTTATATCCCAGCGAAGATTGAATTATGCGTAACTTCTGTGAACTATTAATGGACTAACAAAATACATATATTCTTAATGTATGACTGTTAAGTAAGTAGGTCATAAATATTTACATTCCTTTTACTATAAGCTTCTATTTGACCTATTGACTATTATCATACGACTTACTGTTCTTAATCTATACCCATTTGATTAGTAACAGTGACTCACAATCACAGCCAATTTTTGACTATATTTTGTGTAATTGTTATTTTCTATTATATGGTATGATGTGATCTGGTTCGCTTGTATATGAACCAAGTATGTATGAGGAAAATGATTCGTATAGTGGAATGTGGCATAGTTGTTGTGTACTGAAGAGGCAGAATTAGACGGGAAAAGGATCATTCCGACCCTAGGCTGTTTGCACAGGTGCATGCAAAATTAGTTTTTTTTGTATAATTCAGCGTATCTAAATTTGTTAAAATTATTTTCATAAAATCGTACAAACTAAGGACATAACACTTTGGATAGTTGACAGGATTAGTTCTGTAACTTGTGTAAGCTCATCCGGAAAAAAGTAACTTTAAATTGAACAATTTTTCCACGTGCCCAATTTTAAATGTAGTTGAGAATTCTCAAGTTATTTGGCTAATCTACCAGTTAGTAGAAAGCTTTACATTAACCTTAGGCTCTTCAATAGCTGATTTCTAATGATTTACCTAGATATTTTACAAAAGAACTGGTTAATTTGAAGATTGTCTAGTTATCATAACGTGAAGGTTATCACCATGAAATCCGGATATCATAATCTCATTCTAGTGTGTCATTAAGGCTGACAAAGTTATACAGATGATGTGTTCTAAATAAAACCCAAATGGATGTCTTTTAAGTGATCCATAACTTTAAATGTTAATTAAACCAGATATTGAACATTCATCAAGTCACTACTCATTTTCAGTTTCTGTCCTTTTTTTAGTGATAAAATTAAGCACTGCTGAGTAGTCCCATAATAGGACAAAACGGCCGTCCAGTGTTTCCAGGTTTTCCATGGTGGTCTAGCTTCAATTGACTCATAATCTCAAGTTTATAAAATTTTCTGAAGAATTAAAGTCATTTAATTTCGAATAGTCTGTAAGGAAGAAAATTAGATTTATCATTAGTTTATCGAGTCATTCAATCAGGTAGCTATTTTTATTTTTATCATTCCATCTATTTATATCTATTCAAATGAAGAAAAAAATATATGAATGCCAAGTTATTAAAGTTTTGAATATTTTTCAATATCCTGTTAAGTCACTTTGACATTCAACAGATATTTTTGACATTGGACTAGAATTAGGACATCCATCCGTGAGTAGTTCATTCATATAACATTTAATACAACTGCGTAATACATGGATTGACGTACATATTAAGTACACAATGAATTCATGATAGAATTGAATTAATTATTGATTAAGATAACAACTACCACCACCACTATAGTCTATCTCCGTTTGTCTTACGCTAATTATATTATTCTGTAAGTTTAGAATGGAATTTTGCAGATTGCCAATGCCCGCATTTTACAATTAGTCAATTATAGTCAGACTATCAGTCATATACAATCACTCAGGCAGTTTAATTATTATTCTGTTGATGAAATAAATAATGAAAATCAGTTAAACCGATAAGTATCGAAAAAGAATAATCTTAGCTAGTTTCTTTTTATAAAAGATATCATAAGGATTGCAACGACGGCGACAATGTCAATCTCATTTGATGATGATGATGATGATGACGATGACGTTCATATATTTTTCTATTCAAAAAATTTATAATGAGAGCAACACATATTTGCGAATAAAAATGTTTGAGTTAGATAGTCTGTTGTGACTTGTACCCTGTTAATTAAATCACATGATAAGGTAGTCAATCAGCACGCCACTTAAACAATATTAACACTATGCCAAACAAATGATGTATTGACCGAAATGAGCAGAGTCCCGAATGATCCATTTCCCGTCTAATTCTGCCTCTTCAGTACACAACAACTATGCCACATTCCACTATACGAATCATTTTCCTCATACATACTTGGTTCATATACAAGCGAACCAGATCACATCATACCATATAATAGAAAATAACAATTACACAAAATATAGTCAAAAATTGGCTGTGATTGTGAGTCACTGTTACTAATCAAATGGGTATAGATTAAGAACAGTAAGTCGTATGATAATAGTCAATAGGTCAAATAGAAGCTTATAGTAAAAGGAATGTAAATATTTATGACCTACTCACTTAACAGTCATACAATAAGAATATATATATATATATATATATATATATATATATATATTAATAGATCGCAACAATCACCTTTCATTATTCTCGTCGGGATATAACGCAAAGGATCCATGAGTAGTACATACTAATGACCCTGTATAGGATCGAATACAGGGAGATTAGTTCTCACAATGTGTACACACAATATTCTTACTGAGTCAAAATTCAACAATTCGCAATACTATTTTGAGTTTGTTTGCAATGTTTAGAAACACATACCTAGTAAGAACAGAGATATTTTTCTAGATCAAACTGCGGCTGTTATCTTGACTTGGTGATCTAGGAGAGTGTTAAAGGAGGTTTGCACTAAAAATAGTATGCCTCATTTCGACCCATGGATTTTGTCACCGATACTTAGAATATATGAAACTCAGGTTTAATTATAAGTAGGAAAATATTCAGATATTACAATGTGAACATTGTTGTTAGTTGAAACGCCTATATTTTCGTCTGACTTATTTTGTAACCTTGATATATCATGTAATGTTTTTTGCTAGACGGATCGTTTTACAATCATCATCATCATCATCCAAATCATCATCCGAATCATCATCATCATCATCATCCGAATCATCATCATCATCATCATCCGAATCATCATCATCATCATCATCATCATCGTCATCATCATCATCATCATCATCATCATCATCATCATCATCATCATCATCATCATCATCATCATCATCATCATCATCATCATCATCATCATCATCATCATCATCATCATCATCATCATCATCATCATCATCATCATCATCATCATCATCATCATCATCATCATCATCATCATCATCATCATCATCATCATCATCATCATCATCATCATCATCATCATCATCATCATCATCATCATCATCATCATCATCATCATCATCATCATCATCATCCAAATCATCATCCAAATCATCATCCAAATCATCATCATCATCATCATCATCCAAATCATCATCCAAATCATCATCCAAATCATCATCATCATCATCATCATCATCATCATCCAAATCATCATCCAAATCATCATCATCATCATCATCATCATCATCATCATCCAAATCATCATCCAAATCATCATCCAAATCATCATCATCATCATCATCATCATCATCATCCAAATCATCATCCAAATCATCATCCAAATCATCATCCAAATCATCATCATCATCATCATCCAAATCATCATCCAAATCATCATCCAAATCATCATCATCATCATCATCATCATCATCCAAATCATCATCATCATCCAAATCATCATCATCATCATCATCATCATCATCATCATCATCATCATCATCATCATCATCATCATCATCATCATCATCATCATCATCATCATCATCATCATCATCATCATCATCATCATCATCATCATCATCATCATCATCATAGATAAAGTAAATAATTAAGTGATAATTTGAGAGTTGTATGATTCGTAGGTAGTTATTGTAATGAAGTAACATATTCAGGAGAACAGTAACAACTTCAATTGACTAATTACGGATTATTATCAATTGATATTAAGTATATCCAGTCTCTTATGTTGCGATTGAATTTTGTGGTTCAAGTTGTAATGTGGACACTGTTCTAATTGGTTTGATACCACGTGTAGTATGTTGAGAGGTTAGATGAATGTCGGAAACCTTGTACCTATGTTTAATGCCAATTGATTATTGTGATGACGATGCGTCTCTAGTCGAGTGAGGAGGAACTGACGATAAGTATTTTTGGAATACAATGTTGAACGTCTGTTGAATATATTGTATTAGACATGTTTCGCAATTCATGAAAAATGTTGTTAAAGATTGAATGGATAAATTGACAACGTTTAAAACATTTAGTTGACAGGAAGTTTGATGAAAGCTAATATTATGGATATTATTAAGTAATTTTAAAATAAATGATGTGATGTATTGTTTGAGAATTCGTATTATTTTGTTTGCTTGAATCCACCTACTTGTAAGTAGTATGAACATGTGACGAACTTTAGAACAATTCACTAGGGCATCTAATTATATATATATATATATATATATATATATATATATATATTTGAGGAAGAGTTTAGATTATATTACAGATATTCCGCACACACGTTGTATTAAGTCAGTTATATTAGGTATGAAGTATGACAGTTTTATTCTTACGTATTTATCTGAGTCGGATGTCCATCTCAATCCTGTGCACCCTTTATTAATTTTTCATCCTTCATTATGCAGTCACTACCTAACCAGAGATGAAAGCTACGAGTTTTGGGTCATCCAAAGTTTGAGCGCTATTTTTCTAAAGCATGTCTCTCAATCAAACATATTTAAATGTATATCTTACTATTGAATTAGCAGCAAAATATCTCTTTCCGTACATTAACTTTGGTGATAATCACATGTTTATCATCATGAAATCTGTAAGTTCAGGTGTTTCTTAATTTGATCATTGACTAATACTCTGTGTAGTGCATGGATACAAAGTTACTTTATTGGCTTTGTGAAAGTCTATTTGATGACCAAATTTCTGGAGAGATCTTTCCAGTATTCCGCATTCATACATTTCAATTGGTTATGATTTTTTTGTTTAACTTAATGATACAAAAAATAAAGCAAGATGAACATCTTGCTTCCTTAAGCTAAAAGACAAAAGATGAACGAATCACTCTTTTGTAATAACATAAAGAATTACGATATTCACTTCTTTTCATATGAAATATCTCAATAAACTCATTCATTAAGCACCAGGAGGTTATCAGACAGTTTATATTTGTCACTTGAAATCATATAAACTTTGATATATGACACTACTCATTGAAAAATTGACTCGAAAAAAAATATTGATAATATTTAGCCGATTTATTGAAAGATGATAATGCGATATTGTTTTAACTTCCTTTATAAAAAAGATATCTTTGTTATCCTTTCAGTATGGTACAAATTTACAATATTTATAAACTAAAGTTGTTTGTTAAGTTCGAGATCGTGGATGTGCACTGATGAGGAGTCCCACAATAGGACGAAGCAGCCGTTCAGTGCTTCCAGGTTTTCCATGGTGGTCTAGCTTTAATTGACTAATGCTTTCAACTATACAAATGACTTTTGAATCATTTGAAACCAAAAATTAAGTTTAAGTTTTACAGAGCTATAAAATATTGAATCTTCAGTGATACTTTTTATCTATAGTAATAAACAGATAGATAGTGTAAAGTTGATTTTAGATCTTTTTTGACTATTTACTTTACCAATAACATGAGATGTTTAAATGTACAATTAAAGTTTACTCATCAATGACGAATAAGATTATTTGATGGAAATATCAAATCCTGACAAACTAATCAGATCTAAAATAGTGTCTCTTGAATTTTTGTATAACCTTCAAAACACCAATGATGGATAGCTTGTATCTAATTAGAAGCTAGTGAAAATTTCTCTATATCTGATTCTTATTATGATCTAACTGGCACGAAATTTATTCATGAATTATTATATTTACAAATAACTGGAAAGCACTAAAGTCATAACAATTGTGTTATCGTCTGTAAGCAATATTTCATCGATTCTAATAAATGATGTCCACACAAATAAAGTTGAAGCAATGTGACAACAAGCCAAGAACTATCACCAGCCTTACAAAGGTTCTAAAATTAAAAGAACTTCAAGTCAAAGAGATGATGTTTGAACCTTGTTAAGCTTATCAATGCTGTAGGAAGTATATATACATTCTAATTTATTAGTTTTCTGCAATGAATTGTTTATTTGTACTACCTACATTTTGATTGGCTAATTAGTATCGCAAGGTCACTCATAAATTATTGTTCCATCAATAGGACTTGAATGTATTATATTTACCTATACTATTGAAAAAGGTATGTTTTCTACACCTATCTTGCACATTTAAGTGTCACTTCGAAAAAGATTATAGTTCATATAGAATTGTTTGATGAATTCATTTTGATTAGCATCATTAAGCATTTTGTAATGGCATATAGTTAGATGTATTTTAAATGAATTTATATTGTACAATACAATGAACCTTATTCCACAAAAAATATATAGAAGAAATACATATCCCATTTCTAGTTTACCAATAAGAAAAACAAACAAAATTTACCATAACCTTTTGATACTTCAAAATAGTGAAATAACTAAGAAAAAGAACATGATAGTAAAATCAATTAAGCGTAAAAATTTAATCTTCCCTCATTAATATTTACTTTTTATTCTATATCATAGATTCACACGTAAATATACAGACCTTCGATCATTCTTTCTCTTATTCTCTCTTTCTCTCTCTCAATACTCCAACTTCATTTGAAAAGGAATAGCTTATTGATCTGTAATGATACTTACAGAATATACTTGAAAGTAATTAAGACACACAAGTGCACAGTTGATACGTATGACAAAACTCCGCAAGAGCACACATACTTCAATATATACTTTTTGATTGATGAAAAATCTCTACATTAATTTAATATCTCCTGCTGATGCAACATGGTATGCATACATATGTTTGAGTGCATGAATTCATTTATGTATTAGTCAAATAGAGTTGAGAAGTCATTTTGAACATAATTACTAAGAATCAAGAAATGGTGGTTAAAAATCATATGGCATAGTTCTCATGTAAGCATTCAAATAAAAATAATGTATTTCAAGTAATTATTGTCAATAAACTTATTATTACTACTATTATTATCACTATTGATGATATGCACAATATACGAGATAACGTACTATAAATTGAGCTAGCGAATTAAGATAAACCAAGTTTGAGATATAAAATAGTAGAAGCCAACTAAGTGATCAAAAGGTTAAACACTCGCCACGAAGCCTAAAATCCTTCGGTTTGATCTCTGACAAGGTCATGAATGCATGATACTAAGGAGTTATATACTTGGATGAAACAGATGTCTAGTGATTCTTGGTTTTGAACTGGTTCCTTAACTGCAATTAGTTTGTGATAAAAACTGAAAAAAATTAACAATCTCTGCTCTCTTTACACAACAATAAAAAATTAATTGTATTTCCACTTTCCTCAAAGTATCAAACACATACTTAACTTTTGAGCAGAACATAACAACATAATTTCCTAAATATTATGTATTCCTTCTACTTCTTCAGGTGTTTAAATGTCGTTTAAAAACAGCCAAAATATAAGGCATTCCCTTACTTGAGTTATCATCCTAATTATATGGTTAGATTTTATTCTACCGATGTTAAGTTATTTCAGGTTTTATTCTTTCAGAAATTATGGAGCTAGATTTTCCATATATAAATTAAACTTCAACGTGTCAGGAAGCGCTGGGTCACAAGAAGCATCAACATAAGGAATGGATTTCTCTCTTCTTAGACACAATGGAGTTCCTGAGAATATCGTCAACATCATCTTGAATTCATACGATGGAAGACAGTGCAAAGTCGTGCATGGAGGATAGCTGACAGACGCATTTCCAGTAGGGACTGGAGTCGAACAAGTCTGTCTACTCTCTCCTTTCCTCTATCTTATGGTGGTCGACTGGATTATGAAGACCTCGACATCTGACGGGAAACACGGAATACAATGGATAGGTTGGATGCAACTAGACGATTCGGGATTCACAGATGACCTAGCACTACCATCTCATACACATGAACAAATACAGATGAAGACAACCAGTGTAGCATCACCCTCTGCATCAGTAGACCTCAACATAAACAAGGGGAAAACCAACATCCTCAAATACAACACAGAGAACACAAACACAATCACACTTGATGAAGAAACTCTGGAAAAGATGGATAATTTCACGTACCTGAATGCTCAACATCATCAATAAACTAGTAGGATTCGATGCAGACGTAAATGTGAGGATTGACAAAGTAAGGACAACCCAGCATTCCTACTTTTGAACAACATATGGAACTCAAAACAGTTGTCAACCAATATCAAAGTGAGAGTCTTCAATATGAATGTCAAGACAGTTAGTTCTACAGAAGTTAGCTGAAACATGGAGAACTACTACAACCATCATCAAATAAGTACAAATATTTATAAACAATTATCTATTGAGGATACTCAATATCCGTTGGTCAGATACCGTGAGCAATAAATTATTGTGGGAGAGAGTAGACCAGCTTCCAAATGAATAGGAAATCAGGAAAAGACGTTGGAAGTGGATTGGACATACATTGTGGTAATCATCAAACTGAATCACGAGACGAGCTCTGAGATGGAATCGTGAAGGGAAATGGAAAAGTGGAAGGTCGAAGAACATACTGCGCCGAAAATTTTAAGTGGGCATAAGAAGAACGATTAGGAACTGGAAAGGATCGTAGGTAAGTAAGTAATGATGTAGAGTCTTTTTTTAGTCTGATATATGTGACTTAATGCCTCATTTTCTCAAACTTCTATCCCAAAGGTAT